GAGTTTACATGCTGGGATTATACCCTACCAGAAGAAGATGTTGTACGTTTAATTAGAGGGGTAGTTGGCGGATGAGTATTCGTTCCCAAACGAGTTGTCGTTGGATACGTGGTAGTCGGTCGTAAAGTTGTTCTTGGTACAGCGACAGTTGTTGTTTGCCCTGTGTTGAAAAGATAAATCAATTTACTTTTGTTCACTTAAAACAAGTCGGTATTCAATACATGATATTGCACACAAGACTATAGCCTGCCTGGTAGTAGCATAAATAGGGGTCGTCCACAAACAAATTGTTTTTTGAATCTTGGTTTATTCATCGTACAACCACAGATGTTTTTTTACCCTATTTCTAAAGGATAAATCGTTTTACTTTTGCATACATATACCCAATACACTAGCAGATTAATTGTTTTCGACACTAAGGCTATAACCTACTTGCAGAAGACATCGTACGTCTAAACAAAGTGGTAGTTGCAGGAGGATGAGTAGTCCTCGAACTAGTTGTCGTTGGATACGTTGTTGTCGGTCGTAATGTAGTTCTTGGTACTGCAGCACTTGTGGTTTGCCCTGTGTCAAAAAATAAATCATTTTACTTTTGTTCACATATAAACAATACTATAGTCAATCAATGAGTAAACATGCTGGGATTCCTACCAGAAGATGTTGTTGTACGTCTAATTAGAGGGGTAGTTGGCGGATGAGTATTCGTTTCCAAACGAGTTGTCGTTGGATACGTGGTAGTCGGTCGTAAAGTGGTTCTTGGTACAGCGACAGTTGTTGTTTGCCCTGTGTTGAAAAGATAAATCATTTTATTTTGTACCCTTATAACCAGTACAGTATTCAATAAATGATAATGCACACATGCCTATAGCCTACCTGCAAAAGACGTTGTACGTCCAATGAAAGGGGTAGTTGCAGGAGTCGTCGTTCCCAAACGAGTTGTCGTTGGATACCTTGTTGTCGGTCGTAATGTATTTCTTGGTACTGCAGCACTTGTGGTTTGCCCTGTGTCAAAAAATAAATCATTTTACTTTTGTTCACATATAAGCAATAAAATAGTCAATCAATGAGTTTACATGCTGGGATTATACCCTACCAGAAGAAGATGTTGTACGTTTAATTAGAGGGGTAGTTGGCGGATGAGTATTCGTTCCCAAACGAGTTGTCGTTGGATACGTGGTAGTCGGTCGTACAGTGGTTCTTGGTACAGCGACAGTTGTTGTTTGCCCTGTGTTGAAAAGATAAATCAATTTACTTTTGTTCACTTAAAACAAGTCGGTATTCAATACATGATATTGCACACATGACTATAGCCTGCCTGGTAGTAGCATAAATAGGGGTCGTCCACAAACAAATTGTTTTTTGAATCTTGGTTTATTCATCGTACAACCACAGATGTTTTTTTACCCTATTTCTAAAGGATAAATCGTTTTAATTTTGCATACATATACCCAATACACTAGCAAATTAATTGTTTTCGACACTAAGGCTATAACCTACTTGCAGAAGACGTCGTACGTCTAAACAAAGTGGTAGTTGCGGGAGGATGAGTAGTCCTCGAACTCGTTGTCGTGGGATACGTGGTTGTCGGTCGTAAAGTGGTTCTTGGTACAGCGACAGTTGTTGTTTGCCCTGTGTTGAAAAGATA